GGCAAAATAATGGTCAATGTCCTATAATCATAGATGTGTCATTTTAGAGATAATTATAAGTATTAAGCAACTAAGCAAATAAAATACAGATTAAACATCCCTCATCTAAAAAGCTTAGGCTCAGAAGTACCTCGGAGTTTTTCCAAATTTTGAAACATTTTCATAAATTTTACCAGTTAAGCATGCTTAATCTGAAATCCAAAATGCTCTGACCTCTTAAATTTTAATGTGAATTCTGTAATTTTAAAACACAAAATAATTTCAGGGTGCAACAAATGCTACAAAAGAATACAGAATTATGTAAGAGACTGACGGGGAGGAAGAGCTTACATTGGGTTTGGAAGAAAGCTCTATCTAGGTGATAACATTTGTGCCTGTGCAAAGACATGGGTACAGAGCAATTCAGAGAGTAAAGGTCCTAAGGTGTAAAGGTCCTAAAATGGAAACAAACTTGGAATAAATGGAGACAGAGACATGCACTAAAAAAATAAAGTTGGTACCACATCTTGTTTTAAAGAGAAAGGCCAAGTTAGAAAGAATAATAGATGTAAAATCTAGAAAATTATCCTGCCATTTAAATTCACCAATCAGAATTTCTAGTTATCTTAATGTGGAAATATCCAGGTTAATAGCACCATTTTCTATGGTGCATTTCTCCATTGAAAATAAGGTCTATCTTGTCATACCAAAGAATACCATTTTTTGGAAGGGCAGGGAATTTAAGTACCAATACAAAATTAGTGAAAAATGTAACAGCCAAAAGAGAGGCTTGATTATCACAATATATATTTCTTAATTTTAAGGAAAGTATGTGCTGTCGTTGAGATGCTGAATTTCTCCCTAAGGTCCTTGTATTAAAGGTTTGATCCCCAGGGTGGTGATTTTGGTAGATTTTGTGAACTGTTAGGAAGAGTGGTCTTATGAGAGAGGTCTTTAGGTCTTTGGGGACATGCCTAGGAAGGGGACTTTGAGACTCCACTGGACCTCTAACTTGATCTGCTTCAGGAACATGAAGTGAGTGGTTTATTCCTCCACACACTCCCACCACAATGTACTGCCTCATCAGAGGCCCAAAATAATGAGTACACTCAATCTTGGACTGGAACTTCCAAGAGTTCCATGGCTTTTCCAGAGCCACGAGTAAAACCAGCCTTTAATAAGTTAATGATCTTCAATATTTTATTATAGTAACAAGAAGCTGGCTAATATAGCCTAAATTCCAACAAAGTCACTTATTTGTATGGAACTATAAGCACTGAAGAATAGCTATAGCCTTTTGGGAATTGGGACCTACCATACGTAGGCATCTCATTCTTAAAACTTTTTGTTCCGTCTATACCAAAGAATTATTTTTAAATTGCAAATTTAAATTTGAAATTCATCATAATTGTTTGCCTCCATGCATATTTGTGGTTTAATTTAAAAACATTAAAATAAGAATTGGGGAATCTAAGGAACTAGAAGAAAAATTGTTAAAATAAGAAATGCCAAAAAGTCCTTAAATATCATTTAAAAATTTATTTTAAAATTCAGTGAAACAGAAAATGTTGATCCTTTTTTGAAAACCATGTTTAGGCACTAAAACATTCTTCAGCTAAAGCCAGTTGGTATTAATAAAAATAAATGTAATAAACTATTAACTAACTTTAAAGCAAATGTCATAGTAAACCTGACAATGATGATGCTGATAGAATGGAAAAGAAAAAAAAAGGATGGAGTTGTAGGCTTTTAAGGTAACCAGAAGTGGATTTAAATCCTGATTCCGCTCCTTGCATTTTTCTGAGCTTCATATCTTTCCGTTTTAAAAGTGAAGAGATGCTAACCTGACTCTAGGTCTGCTGCAAGAACTGGATTCAAAAGTTATTTTAAAGGACCCAGCAGACAGGAATCACTGAGTAAACAGTAGTCTTCTCTAGACTACATCACCACACTGTAGCATTAATAATACACTGTGAAATAGTTTTCCTTGATAACAAGAATTTGTTTTAGTGCTTGTGTTATTTCTTAATGTTAATAAGCAATTCTCTAACAAAAGTATTGATGCAAGTCTGTATTACAGTTCTAAAGATATAACTTTTCCATCAGCATCATTGCTTTAAGTTTCAAATACGTATGGATTTATTCAAAACAGTCTTTCAGGAAAACAATACTTCTTTTGTGTGTGTTCATGTATTTGATGTCCTGCAACAATAAGCTTTCTAGAAGAGAGGCTGTGTAGATGGAATGTCTTCTTGTTATGCAGAAGCAGTTCAAAGAACACAGCCCTGGATTTATACTAGGGGCTGAAGGTGAAAGTGAAATGAATGCAAAATGTTTAATTTTGGATTTAGCTTATATATAAAGCTCAGGAAGGCAAAGTTTGTTAGCAGAAAAAGAAGAATAAAGGTAAGTGAGGGGGTTAGGACTTAAATTATAAGTGCTCATTAAATTTTACATCCTTTCTTATTTAATTTTTTGCTTGTGAGAGTACTCAAACACATCCTGAGTACATAATAAAAGAAGGATCATAATAGTTAGGGGCCAAAACTATGTTGTACCTAAAACTTTACATGAATTACCATCCCATATAGATGTTAAAACATTCACATGATGACTCATCCTGCAATCATGTAATGAAAAGGGGGTTGTCTTTGTCCAAATATGATAAAATTGTAGTTTAATTCAAAGTTTAAAGAGCTTGGTCAAAGGATACATGATAGTACTTAGATTGGAAGAATAAATTCAAGACATCTATTATTCAGCAAGGTGACTATATAGTTAATGGTCATTTATTGTATTCTCAAAAAATACAGACTGGATTTTAAGTGTTATTACCACAAAAATACCTGTATTCCCTAATGCATGTATTAATTAGCTAGATTAAATCATTCCACAATGTATACATACTTCAAAAATAATGTTGTGCTCAATAAGTATATATAATGTTATCTATCAAATTAAAAAGTAAGATATTTTAATGTTTTAAAAGTTCCCCATTAAACAAGATCTCCCTATACCTACTAATACTATAGAATGGGAACTTGGGCCTGTTCTCACTCTGTGGATATTCACAAGCCATTGTCCACTCTGCATATGAGACGGGGCGCTGTTATTGGTCAAAAGGCCACAGGGGAACAAACAATCCATCGAATCTCTGGTCACCCTTGCTAAGAACTCCTCCTGACTTTCATCTTCCTTAGGGATTTCAAGCAACTCAGATGATTCTAGGTTGCTAAATCAAGTACTTTGAAAACTTATTTTTCTGGTTGTATTCATCTGAGCACATAGAGAATTAAAAATGAAGACCTAGCCAGAGTTCAACATGTCCTAATCAGTTTTCTGTACCTTCCTGAAAAGTCCTGTGGAGCTTCTAAGCACTCATTGTCAGGTCTCATCTTGATGCAGACATATGAGGTGTGATCAAAAGATATGGTGAGTGTGGGCGGAGGATTTAGCTCAGTGGTTTCGCCGCCTGCTGTGCAAGATCAAGGACCCGAGTTCGATCCCCGGTACCAATAAAAATAAATTAAAAAAAAAGATATGGTGAATGTTTAAATTTATTGCAGTAAATGACACATTCCCATTAATCTTCAAGGCGGTTCTGGAAGACCTCGCTCATGATTGTCTTTTTGTGGTTGCCTCAATGTTCTTAATCAATTCAAAATGTGACAAATTGTGAAGACAATTTCTGTCATATAAAAACAATGTTTTGTCCTTATCCACCTAATTCACTGGATTGGGCACTGTGCAACCTCTGGCTCTTCCCCAACGTTAAAATGACCATGAAAAGTAATCGTTTTGAACTGATTCAGGACATCAAGGCAGACACAACAGCACAATGAAAGAGGACTTCCAGAACTGCTTCAGAAAGTGGTAAGTTAAATGGGATAAGTGTATTCAAAGTGAGTATTTTGAGAAGGGTTAATGGCAATGTCTCTTTTACAAAATTAATTTTTTTTTTTTTTTTTTTTTTGGTACCAAGGATCGAACTCGGGTCTTTGTGCTGGCGGGGCAGGCGGCGAAACCACTGAGCTAAATCCCCGGCCCACAAAATTAATTTCTAAGTAAATATTGACAGTATCTTTTGATAACATCTTGTAAATTGGTCTTAAAATACGGGCATAGGAAGAGAAATAGAAGATCAACTTCAGACGTCACTCACTGTGACATTTAGCAGAGGCATAGGGAAGGAAGCAAATGAACTGGTGACTGAGATCTTGGTTTCCTGCTAGTTATAGTGAAATCCCCCAACATCTCTCCACTACAAAATGAAAATTCTTTATACAATTTGTGTGTGTAATATGGAGACAAAGTAGTATGAAAATGTTTTGTAAATTGTATAAATTTATAAATAAGAATTTTAATCTAGTATATTTATTTGATGTGTAAAATATTAGGCCACTTTAAGTTAAATATTGATAAGTCTTCTCTATTTATAAATTCCAATATTGCTCCAGACTGAAGAAATTTATTCTCATTCTATGTGTTTATGAAATGTACTGCTATGAATAATATACATTACAAATAATTAGTAATTTTGTTAACTGATTCTAAATTAACAATATGATACTAGTTCAGATCAGCCTGTAAACAAGTAAATTTAATTTCTTTACAAATTATTATGCTAATATTGCTTAACTATCCAGCAAAGGCAGAATTGGACTATAAGTACACAAAGTATTTTTAATTTAAGAAATCCAAAAATTTCATGTGATAATATTTAACCATATCTTCTACTAATGTGAAACAGGATTTAGCTCAATAAAATCTATAATTTGGATATTTCTTTTTATAATATAATAAAACAATTGGAATTTGACTAACTTTTGTAAACATTTTTACAACACCTTTTTTAGATAGATATACTTCCTGATATGCAAAGATGATGCAATAGTGGTTTATTAAGGGCAGAGACATTTCTATAAAAACCCCAAGTGATAGAGTAGGTATCTACTGAATCAGTAGTATCTACTGCATGCACAGTTGCAGTTAGTTATTCCAGGTATTATTTTTGTTTTCAGAAAAAGAAAACTAAACAGAAGATCATGACAAGTGCAGATTGGGGATATGATAGCCAAAATGGTAAGAATATTTCTTTTCATATAGATCAAAATAATAGCTGATTATCTTTTCTAATAGAAGATATGTTAAGCACTTCAAACAATAATACAGCCACAGTTTGATAGTTTGAATTGCCTGGTTTGAATAATTATAATATCTTCATAAGAATTTTTACCAGTTGATCTTTGGGCATAGATGTTTACAAAATGCATCAAGTATATATATTATAAATCTATTGCTCATGAAATATTTACAGCCTTCTCCTATAGGCTACTGTTTAGCCCTATACTGCCGGTGTTGACAGATTTACAGTACAGTATAGAAAAAAGATATTCTCAAAACAGAATTTCCAAAAAACTGAATGTCGTTTAAGACACCTGAATAAATAATAAACTAACAAGCAAGCAGGTAGTTAGAGTCCTAGAACTTGGAATCAAGCATTCAATAAAGTTTTGATTACACACATACATTTATCTTGGTAGGTCCTGATCAATGGAGCAAGCTGTACCCTATCGCCAATGGAAATAACCAGTCTCCCATTGACATTAAAACTAGTGAGGCCAAACATGACACCTCTCTGAAGCCCATCAGTGTCTCTTACAATCCAGCTGGTGCCAAAGAAATTATCAACGTGGGACATTCCTTCCATGTGAATTTTGAGGATGATAAATCAGGTGAGGCCAAAGACTGTTCTGATATTTCTGATAAATCTACTGGGGAAACTGAAACAGTGAAGTGTAGAGTACACCAACAGTCATCCTAAGTATTTTTTGTGTTATCTGGTGAAACAGTTTGGACTTCTAGAAAGTATCTGAATGATAAAGATGGTTTTGGGGATCCTTAGCTTTGTCTTTTTTTAGCCCTTACACTATTTAATAGCATCTCCCCATCTCTACTTCTATGTCAGGATCTTTATGCTCACTTCATTCTTTCTATAAACAGCCAAAAGGCCTAGTAAGTAAATCATTGTGAAGATAAAAACTGAAAGGGCAAATAGAGTCCAGTTGGGGTGAAAGTGGATGAGCACAGTAGGGAAGACAGACACAAGGATGACTATGTTATCCTCATACTTCAGAACCAGGTACATTGCCTGCTACATAGTCAACTTTTGATCAGGGTTCAGTGAATCAGTCATTAAATGACAGTTTCATCAGACAGTTCTGACATAAAAGGCCATATTTCTTTTAGCACTTTCCTAGTGAATTCCGAATCTAAATTTTAGGTATATTGGGAGCTATGTCTTTTATTAATACTAGATTAAGTCTGGTATGTGTGTTTACATAATTATATGATTGGACAGACTCTCCAAAATGACAGGTCAAATTTTTAACAGATGCACTTTCTCTCATTCCCTGGTCAGGGATTCTCAGTATAACCATCAAGATACACTGTGGTGTTTTCGTTAAGTACAAACTATGTAATGCATAATTTGTTACTCAGAATAAACTACTATAGATTTTGATGAATACTACTTACACAGTTTTTGTTGAGAGAATGATTAACGAACTTGTAAACTGCAGAATTTCAAAGAAAGCCCTGTAATCATATAATTAACTTACCTTGCAATATGCTTTCCTTGCAATGGAAACAGGTACAACTGTGGCTTGTGCACTGGGAATTGGATGTATTTTATAGACTGTCTTATCAATGCCACAACTGGGGATATATCATACAAAAGAGTGCCATCGTCTTGGATGTAGAAGACTAAAACAAGATGAAAACTTGAGCTCTAGTGTTTGTTTTCATTTCAAATCAACAAAATTTAAGTGTTGGTTCGTGCAAAGATAGGATGGAATTTATGATCTTAAGATTAACAGTAGTTCTCTTTTCTTCCAGTGCTGAAAGGTGGCCCTCTGTCTGACAGCTATAGGCTCTGTCAGTTCCATTTTCACTGGGGCACTACAGATGCATATGGTTCGGAGCACTTAGTGGATGGAGTCAAGTATTCTGCAGAGGTAATGTAATTTAGTAACTAGAACATAATCATCCTGAGAGTGATTCCCAAAAGCAGCTCTATTATTATGTGAGTCACTATCACAAGGACTCCAAAAAAAAGTGTTATTCTGGTTTTTTTAAGGATCTCCCAGACTCCATAAAATCAAACACAGACACACCATGATTGGCAAAGCAGGACATTTTTCATGTGGAAAGAGACAACTGAACTTGGACCTGATCTCTGGAATCCAAGATTTACTTTTAGCCTAAAAAATTGTTACCTTGAAATCATGCTAGCTTCAAGGGGCAGCACTACTCTTCTTTAAACCTCTGACCCTAAAATGCACATACTACTGTTCCCTTTTTACTTAAATTTCAAATTTGGACACACCAGTACCATGGGTATGATCAGAGATAGGAATAAAATGAGACTCTGCAAAGAGCTCAAGTTTAATCAGAGCTATGATTGCAAGGAGGTGAATATACCTAGATGAGGTTCTGAAGTTCCCTGGCTGCAGGCCATCCTCCCACTCCTTCTTGATTTGCCCTCACATAAAAGCTTGTGATCTATATCAAGACATTATTATCTGTATGTCTGTAGAAAAATACATGTACATAAAACTCAATGGAAGATCTGGGTGATTTATTTGTATGACTATATAATGTATGTACAATGTAATGTACATGCACAGGTTGACTTTTTAATATTGCTTGTATAAAATGAATTTTATAATACATATGGTTTTAAAACTTGCTATTTTTTCTACTTACCAATTTATCATGACCATTTTTTTCAAGTCAGGGGGTTTAATTCCATCTCATTTTCTAATGACTGTATCAGATTTGAATTGCACAAATATAACACAATTTAATCAGCCTCTGTTGATGGATAATTATGTCACTGTGGGGTTTTTTGCTTTTACCAAAAAAAATATAACTACATCCTCTCTGTATCTTATGTACCAGTGAAAGTAGTTGTATAAGACATTTTCTCAAAAGAGTTTATAAAATATGCGCATCATTTATTCTGATAGATGATATGGGAATTGTATGCAAATATAACTTGTTTTATATTATAAAATTTAGATAATATTTTTCAATACTGCCAAAATATATTAAATGTTTATTCCCCAATTATTTCATATAAATTAAAGGTAGGTAGAGTGAAATTAAATGGGTAAGGAACCTACTTTAATATTATGTTTTTGAAAGGATACTTGGTGGTAGCCAGGAAATTGAAACCAGGAAACTGAAGCCAGGAAATCTGGGCTAGCTATGAGAGACACAGCTACAAAGCTCAACACGTTGCAATTCAATAAATCTATATGGGGCATGTATCATATACTAGATTGAGAGGCAGTGCAGTGATTAAGAATGCAGGTTCCTCAGCTGACTTTCTGAGTTTGAATCAAACACCTGCCATTTACTGGCTGTATAAGTTTGAGCAAAATCACTCTTCTCAACAACAGAGCCAAGATAATATTAACATCTACCTCAAAGAACTGTTGACACAGTAGAATGAGCAAACCCATATGAGGCACATTTAGACCAGCTCTTTTCTCATTGTTACTCAGTAATGTTAATTACATTTCTGTAGTTAGGACACAACCAAAACCCCCTCAAGCAGGGCAGTATATGCATAAAGGATTATATAAACATAGTAGCAAGTGGCTCTAAGAATATTCACAAAGCACCATGGTAATATAGATGTAGTAATAATCATTTAAGAGTAGGAACAGACTCTAGACTGGCATGACCAGGGGATATTACAATGGAACATTTCAAATAGGACTGTAAAATGATCTCTGTGAAATGGTTTTCTTAACATTGTTTTTTCATTCAACAAATATTTATTGAGCATTTACAATATGCTAGATGCCATTTATAAGGTAATTTGCTGTCAGAACTTCGATTTGATAAATAAAGGAAAACTTTAAAAGAAAGCAGAGGGAGGAAAGAGAAAGAAGGGGGAGGAAGGGAGAGAAAGGAAAGGTAACAGAAACGGAGGGATGGAAATAAAAAGAAAAATTGCATAAGAGTTATTGAAAGACTTGGATTTTATTTATAGTGGTCACTTTACAGTGGGTGATCAAATAAAGATTGAAGAGTAGTATTTGAGTTCAATCTAGAGACAAAGGTCTATTGTGCAGATTATTGGAAAGGAAATTCCAGAAAAAATCAGTACCTAATGCAAACACTCGAAATTTTGGAAAAGTGAGATCTAATCTGAGATACAGTTATTAAAAGTAAGAAATTGATGACAACTATGGGACTACATTTTGGTTGAGCAATCAGATGCATAATGTTATCTTCTCCTAAGAAGAGAAAATGAACCAGGTTTGGCAAGTACAAATCAAGAGTTCTACTTTGGCTGCATTAAATTTGAGAGATCCAAGTGGAAATATCAAAAAAATATCAAAAAGACACACAGGCACACTTGGATAAACAAGTCCAGAGTTCTACAGACAGTTGAAGCTGGAGGTTTTGATTTGAGAGATGCCTGAGAAGGACACTCATGCCCCTAAGGCTTCTGGGAAGTCCAGAAGCTCCTTCCTATAAAACTGCCATGATTTACCTTGGGGGAAAAATGACTTCCGTTTTTGTCCTAAAGCTTGTTGGTCAGATTTCCTGAAATTTTTAATACCAAAAGATACATTTTTAAAAGAGTAATATGAAATAGTTGATGTCACTGTAGGAAAAGAAAATTTACTTATTGGTTCTAATCTGCTTACACTTCGTGCTCGCTTCGGCAGCACATAAGCTAATCTGCTTACACTTCTCAGCAAACAGATAACCCTTCCTAAGAGTGAAACAAACACAGACATCTTCATACTTACTTTTTGTCCTTACCCTTATATAAATAATTAACTATATTATCATTTTTAGCTTCACGTAGTTCACTGGAATTCTGCAAAGTACTCCAGTGTGGGTGAAGCTATCTCGAAGCCTGATGGGATGGCAATTATTGGTGTTTTGATGAAGGTGAGTTACAGACACAGCTCAGCTAACACTATTGCTTAGCAATCAGATCTCAAAAGAACATGATATAAAGGCAAAAAACAGTTGAAGTTTTCTCTTTGGAAAGTTCTCATTCTACTTATGGCTAGAGAAACCTTTTCTTCATACATTGTTGCCTCGCTTCTATACTTTTCCCTCTCAACAAAACAAATTTTTAAGTAGGGGTGGAATAAGGAGTTGTCACAGGGAAAAAGAATTTCTGTTTTCCAGTTTTTCCAAATTCCTTTTTCTCTAAACTTACCTCACGGACTCAGGGTTTATTAATTTAATATTTCATCAGGAAAGAAAAATTAAGAGAATTTTCCCCATAAATTTTCGATTAATTTTTAAAATGGTAGATGATGCTTAAATCTGCTGCTGAAGAGACTTTGAAAAGTTATATCAGAAAATCATTATTAAATTGAGTATGATTGAATAAGTAAATCATTTTTGGAATTACAATAATTCACCTAACCTTTATTGAGCACTCAGAATATGACAAAATGTGCCAATTATAAGTAATAGAAAAGACCAAAATGAAGAGTTTTGGCTTTTATATCTTAATTTTACTCAATTTCTAGATTTGTGTTGTACAGACTTGAACATCTTGCCTGTAATTAAATTTCAACTAAGCTTTTTATTTGTTACTTTGCCTCTGTTAACCTTATAAACAATGAGGGTACAAAGGCCCACGAAAACATACACCTAAAATTCTATCTCCCAGAGCAGGGAGAAATTACCTTACCTCTTTTCAGTTATTGTTGTTAATTTTAAAAACTTAAAATTTACTTTAGTATTAATCTGTATTTATCACTATTTTTTTATCTCCAGGTTGGTCAGGCCAACCCAAAGCTGCAGAAAGTACTTGATGCCCTAAATGAAGTTAAAACTAAGGTAAATGAACTAAATAAGACAGTTTAATTCTAAGAGCAATAGTCCGTAGAAGTATGAAAATCATTCAATTACACATTTGAAGTGGGGAGAAGTTAGGCTGGTTGTGAAAGCTACCAACCTGAAAATCAATGTATTACACAAATACTGCCTGTGTCTGAGAAATTCTCTGACTCAGGAATTTATTTTGTTTTCATATTTTTAATTGATTTGGGCAAGTACAAAAGCAGGTTACTTAGTCATTAAAACTTACTTGAAAAACTGCATCCAACTGAAGTGTGAGTTTTTTCCATTTTATGAAGATATCTATATGTTTTGAAAGCACAAAAGTTTAGAAGTGCAGTGTATTCTCTTGAGGTATCATTAGTATGTAATATTTGATAATCATAATATCCACCTAAACTAATAAAAGGATTTTGTGAAATATCCAATCCTACCTTCACTGTTTTAATAGTAAATATTTAAACCATTAGTCAGAGGTTTGTCATTTTCTTTCACAGTGTTATTGCTGTGTAAAGTAAGTTTGTTTTGTGCTGATTCAAGAAAAAAATTAAACTTTAAATAAGTATACTACAAAATGACCCAAGTCAAAAATATTTTTTAAAACTACATATGAAAAAAAAATAAGTAGAGAAGATATAAAAGCATAAAATAAAAATATTTTTACATGATGAATAAATGCAAAATAA